GTGGCCACACTGGTCCAGGCCAGGTGCCACTGGCTTTTTGGGCCACCTGGGCACACCTGGCTCATGTTCAGCCCCTGTTGAGCAGCACCCACAGGTCCTATTCTGTCAGGCATTGTCAGCCCCAGCCTGGAGCACTGCAGGCTCGTGGTGGCCCAGCCTGGCCTTGCTGAACCTCAGCCAGCACAGTGAGACAGCATTTGCTGATTCCTGATTCACACATAACTTGTGCCTTTCTTAACTATTGATGCCAGTGATGGAATGTCAGAGATCCCAGCTTTCCATCTGAAGTCTTCAGTATTGGTGTAGTGAAGGCTGAGGAAGTAGAAAGGGAGCTGTGAAAAGCCAAATAATCCTCAGTGTTTCTTAATAACTCCTGAAATTGATTTCATGTGAATGAGGCTGTGTAGTAATTAAAGGAGTAACATTGGGGATTATTATTTCACTGGAAGAAGCATGAATCTGGTGCTTCATTTAAAGGACAGTAATTTGTAATACAATTTTATTGATCAAGGCTTATAATCACTAAATCTTGCATGCAAACAGACTGAATGTGAAACATTGTCTTTATCAATTTCCAAACAGTGGATAAATTTGTTGGTTATGTTACTGTAATGATGAACCCTCAGTACCTTTTTTCAGTCTATTATTATTTTTACAGAGGAAATAATATCCTTATTACCCCTGGATTAGTAACATAGGGATCTACCACGGCTTTAAAACTTAAAAGAATGTAAACTTCAAAATTAATGGGTGCTTATGGCTAATGATAGTCTGAATAATTTGAAGAAAAAACATGTCCAGAGTTTAGTTAAAATGAAACTCTCAGTTGAGTTCAGCCCTGTAACCAGAAGTTTTTATACGAAGCAACTGGAAGCCCTCAGAGTGTGTATCCTCGCTTGAGAGAAGAGAAATTTTCCCTCTGCCTTGGCAATTGCTGCAGGATTTCACGAATGTGCTTCTACCTTTACACAGTGTCACCAGCTTTTCCTTTTTTTAGTAATTCAGTGCTACCACCATTTCTATGATCACAAAATCCTATATCCACCTGCTCACAAATCCATTCAAATGAAATGAAGAACAAAGCACAGAATTTTGCTGGGTTGTCTGTTGGGAGAAATATGATGTCCCAATTTGCACTCTCATTATTTCAGCCTTGCAGAGGGGAAGGGAAGAAGGTGGTGCAAATGTCCTCCAACTTCAGTGGTGAGTCTGAGGAGGAGAGAAACCCTGCCTCCCTTTTCTCCAGTGATTTACAGACTCATTCTTACCTGAGACCCCAGTAAGGAAGATAAGCTTGGCACTGTTCCCATTGGCATCATGTATGTCTGGTGCAGGGATTGACTGACATGGAGTCCACTCATGCCAGCAAAGCAAAGCCATTTATTACATAGTTTACCAGAATTTACAGGTCACTATGTTTGTAAAATTTTCCATTTTGACCCCTTTGTCCTGGTCTGTGACAGTGTTCACAGGGGTCTGAGGATGAGGGAAGAGACGAGGATCTGACTCCATGTTTCAAACGGCTTGATTTATTATTTTATGATATATATTATATTAAAACTATACTAAAAGAATAGAAGAAAGGATTTCATCAGAAGGCTAGCTAAGAATAGAAAAAGAAAGAATAACAAAAGCTTGTGGCTCGGACTCTCTGTCCGAGCTAGCTGACTGTGATTGGCCATTAATTAGAAAGAACAAACATAGGCTAATTAAAGATCCACCTGTTGCATTCCACAGCAGCAGATAACCATTGTTTACATTTTGTTCCTGAGGCCTCCCAGCTTCTCAGAAGAAAAAATCCTAAGGAAAGGATTTTTCATAAAAGATGTCTGTGACACTGGTCCCCTTTAGAAACACAATCTTCTGATTATTCTTCTTGTGCCAGCAATGTCCTTTGTTATCTCTTTTGCCATAAAGTCCTTTTTGCATCTCCCCTCACCAGCGTGGTCAGTGTCAGTGACCATACATGGTGTCTTCACTTCTGTTCCTGCCTCGAGTTTCTCTCTTCCTTGGCTTTCACTGTACCAGGGCCAGAAGGTCAGTGATGCTGCCCAGCTCAGCCTCTGTAGCTGTCTGATCTCTGACAGTCTGGGGTTAGCTCAACTGGCTTAAAATAAACCCCTGTAGCTCTATTTAATAATTACAAATAATATCTGTTACATTTTAAAGACATTGTTTGAAATGCTTAATAAGAGTATTTCTATAGATCTGTCAATGTCTTTGTGTCTGGCATTGGACCTTAATACTCTGCTTTGTTACAGCTCTTACAGCTCTATTATGATTTCCATTTGCAATACAGCCATTAAGACACCTTTTTAAAAAGTCATGATTCTATACATTTCAATTGTTCAACAGTGTTAGTTCATTTCTTTGGAAACAGCAGTAAAGCCTTTTTTTTGAAAAAAATCTTACCCAATTTTTAACAACATTTCCAGTTGTTTTCAAATAAGCAGGTTTCTATAGCCACATTCTGGAAGTGCATGTTGGGTTTTTTGCAGTGTGTTTACAAATATCTCATCATTTCCAGGCAGCTGTCATTATTTTATTTTTGGCAAATGGGAATATGGAGGCAAAATTAGAGTAATATTTAAAGCTGGAGTGTCTTGCATAGGAGTGGGATATGGAGACTTCTAAAATATTTGATGAGAACTGATTGGAACATGTGCTGCTTCTATGATTGCTTTGCATTAAGGCACTGCCTTTGGAGAGGAAAAAATTACTAATATTTAGATAAGGGCTGAGAGAACTTTTATCTGCCTGGAGATATTTCTGCTTTTTAAGAACTGTAGCTTGGACATCTGCAAATGCTGTCTTGTTTGCAATCAAACAGTGGATCAATAAAATAATAAAGAGAAAGCACTGAAGTTAGGATTTTTGTTGATGGATTGTGCATCTGAGGAAAACTTTATTAAGGAACTATGAAGGCTAGTCTTTATAGAACACAACATACAGTATTTGCCATTAGATTTCCCATGTTTGCACTGGTTTATTTTGTTTTCAATTAAAATAAAGCTGAAATCCACAGTATCATTTTAGATGAATGTTTTGTTTTGAAGTTACAAGGGAATGCAGATAATTTTTTTCAAAGGTTGTGTGTGACAGTAGTGTGATACAAACTCAGTGATCAGTGCCTGTGATCAAAGCTGAACAGGCTGCTGCCCTTCAGCCTTCTCTCCATCTTGTGCTTTGGCCCCTGTGCACAGTTCATTATCACTGTGCAGCCTGCTTTTATGGATGTGCAAGGCGTTAGTCCTGTTGAAAATCTGATTCTCAGGCTAAAGTCCATTGCTTCTTCTGTAGCTCAAATATTTGAGCTCACTGAGAGTGAAAACCAGAGAGCCTGGAAAAGAGCACAGCTTTGTCCTGGGAAACTCCACAGCCCTTTCACACCCCTGGAGGGAGAGGGCACAGCAGGAAAATGTGTAAGCAATGCTTAATGTATGTTTTCAGCACCTCGTAATTACCAAAACAATTGTGTGCTGGTCCTTTAAAGGCATTCACAGGATTGATTGCAATTGTGAAGTGTGGGATTCGTCTGTCTAAATGTCAGTGAATGTAGCTGAGAAAATCTTCAGCTCCTGTGGTCATAAAGGGAAGCCAGTGTAATGAGAGTTGAGAAAATATTCTAAAATTCTGTGTTTATACCTCCATACCTAATCCCCACCCTCCCTGCACACACACCCTTGCCATTTTCTATTTTTCACACATAATAGGAATTGTGAACTTCAGCACTTTGTAAAAGTCACCGTCTGTTCTCTTTTGCAAAAATAAACAATATATTGTAATAGAGCAACAGGAACCTAGCCTGAATTAGAGGTCATAGATTCAGAGTTAATTTAGAATTTGGCACTTGGCTCAGATGTGATTGGCAAGGAGATTTTCAAAAGGCTGCAACTGTAAATTGGAAATAAATGGAAAAGGATTATGTGAGTGGGAGATGGCTTTGAATCTATAATGCATGTCCTGAGACTGACTTGCTCATAGAAGAGCGTGTGTTTAATGTGTCATAAAAATATTTAAGTCACATTGATCTTTATATAAATATTTCATTTTTAAAGTTGGATTCTGGAGTATCTTGCATAGAAGCAGGATATAGAGACTGAACTAAAAATAAAATAAAATTAGCTCTGTGTGCATATCCTTGCTATCATTATGAAGGATAAAAAAAGGAACACCAGAAATTGGGTCATTTTTCCCTTTCCAGTCTCATATTCTCACAATATCCTTTATGCTGTCTTTTGTGACCAAATCAATTTTATTAGTCCTTGCTATATCATCTGTTCTGTTCTCTAGTGCTCGTCTGAGAGATGCTATGGATCTATTGGATCAGGAAACAGTTTGGAGGCAGAGTGAGCTGCTGCCAAGAAGGCACTCATGTATGAGAGTGAGAATGTGGGTGTGTAACTGAGATGTCCAAAAGGGACACTTTTTGGTGTGCCTTCAGCTGCTTCTGATCCAAAGCTGATGTCTGTCTGTAAATAAAGCAGGATGTGTTTTGAATGTGCCCATGTTCTGCACCATTCGTTTTTCCACTGTTGGCAAACTAAACTGCAAGAATCTGCACAGCTACCACCTTGGCAGCTCAAGGGGCTCAAGGAGTGACAGCAGTTATAAAAGGACCACCTCTGAACTACTATCTATTTTTCTTTTTGTTATTTCCTTTAAATAAATACAGTCTCCTAAATTAGCTCAAATATAATTTAGCTCACTGTTGCTGTTGGTACCATATGGAATGGCCTCTGGGGCTTTCAGAAATGATTTAGTACTGACAGAGGAAGAGGGAGAAATGTGCCTAGAGCTGCACTCAGAGCATCCCACTGCACAACACCTGCTTAATGGTTCTTTTGGATACACAATGACCTGGTGTCTGAGTCTGTGTTTCCCTCCTCTGCAAAAGCAGGTGAAATACAAATGAACTTTGCAGTTGTCTCTCCAGTGCAGAAGACTTAGACCCACCCCCTTCTCCCCCAGTTATGATTGTTTTGTGCTGTTCCTCACAGGTGAAATTTGTGCTTTTAAAATCCACGGGCAAGAGATGCCCTTTGAGGCCATTGTGCTGAACAAGACGTCTGGAGAAGGTCGGCTCCGAGCAAGGAGTCCCATTGACTGTGAGCTGCAGAAGGAATACACATTCATCATCCAGGCCTACGACTGTGGATCAGGACCAGGTGGAACCAACTGGAAGAAATCTCACAAGTGAGTGAAAATGAGAAGAAATTTTTTTTTTTTTGTTTGGCATACATTTGCTCCGCAGTCTGTGTTATTTCAGGTAGAAAGCAAATAAAGATAAATCATAGTTGCAATATTCCAGCCATTTTTTCATTCCTTTTTCCTAGTAGTAAATATATTTCTTTTTGTTTGCTTCAGTTAAAGCTTTGCACAAGATCCCCGTTCAAGTGGATAAATGCATCTCAGTTATGGTTTATATTTTCCATTCGTGCTTTCATGTTGAATAAATCCAGGCCATAGAAACTGGCTTTCAATTGATATTTGAATTTTTAAATAGGTTTTCTCTCTGTTCATCTCATTTCAAATGGTAAGAAAAGACGAATCATCCCCTTTTTTTAGCATATCTATGCCATAAGCTGAGCAGTGTCACATTTGAATGGCGTCTGACCTCAGCTTTTGTCCAACAAGTCTCAGAGAAAGTGAAGTCCTCTGAAGTGGAGTGTATTGAAGGTCAGTAGGTGGTACTTTTACTGTGGAGCCAATTCCCTGAATAAGCTTAGGTGGCACAGTGCCTTTTTTCCCCTTTGAATTCATGAAACGAAGCTCCAGCTCATTTGTCATTGAAGATGGATTTAACTCACGTAGATGTATAAGTGCTGTACAAATAGTTCCTTTTGCTGAGAGCCTTTATAATAAATGATTTATAGTAGTCATTCTTCCTTTTGCTCATCCAGGACATATGACAATTAAAATTTTAATTAGGTCTGTAATGCAAGCTGAAGTTTTCAGGATATTTATTTAAAAAGAATACAGAGTTAGGAAGAAGCCTGCAATAGCAGATAACCATCAAATCACAGAAACGGGTTTTGCTTCACAATATCAAATTTTATTATGTTTCCCCCTCTCACGTCAGTAACAATCTGGTAGAAATCCAGTTGTGGAAAATGTTGGTCTAATCTTGACTAAATGAAGTCTGGCCCACTGATTTTGTCTAGCAGCTCATGCTCAGCCACGCTGCCTGGGGTCCCAGCCTTTATTGCAGCTCTGCTGTTGCTCCAGAACATCCCTTTTGTGTCCCTCTGTCACCCTGCCCATCAAACCAGAAAGCAAAGCCTTCCAAAGCAAGGCCTTTGGGGTTTACTCACTAAATACATGTGCAGTGTTGTGACTACTTGAAGGATTAGATAATTGTCATCAGCAGAAGGTGAGAGCCTTACTTAATATGGAAGAATGCCAGTAAACTGCTCATTTTTAGGTAGTGGGCACAGAAAACTACTGTGTCTTATTTTACTGTGTAATGATATCATTGGCTTTCTGCTGGAGTTCATTTTTGGGGGCAGATTTTAATAGCAAACACCATAAAACTCTCTCCTTACAAGCCATGGCAATGGACTTTTACCTAGTGCCACTTAAGATACTAAATTGGGCAAATGAAACATAAAAATTCTAATATCTCATTTTAATAGGAGTTCACATAATTTTCTAGGTATGTTTTGTTAGTCTTTTCAAGTGTTTTGAAAATAAGCTGTTGGTGAGGCATCACAATAAATTAACTTTTCTCTTTGAAATTTTTCTGTGCCTGTTTTAGGGCAGTAGTCCATATCCAGGTGAAGGATGTCAACGAGTTCTCCCCAGCATTCAAGGAGAGCATGTACAAGGCCTCAGTGACGGAGGGGAAGATCTACGACAGCATCCTGCAGGTGGAAGCCACAGATGAGGACTGCTCCCCCCAGTACAGCCAGATCTGCAACTACGAGATTGTCACCACGGATGTTCCCTTTGCCATCGACAGGAATGGTGAGTGTGGCCCCAGCAGGGCTGCCTGCAGGGCTGGCAGTGCTGGGGGCATGAGCTCATCACCTGGCTGGAGACGGAGCTCCAGAGAGAAATCCTGTTCTCATCTCTGAGAGCAGAGGAATCCTCACACTGAGCAATTCCATCCCTTTTGTGTACAGCCATGCAGTAATCTCCTGTGGAAATTAAACCACCAGGTTTAGGTGAGCAACATGATTCTTGGTCACCTGGTCCATTCTCCTAATTGTCTCAGATCCTGTTTCCCATCCAAGTGAGGGCATTCCCCAAGGCAGCATGTATTCCCCGATGCAGGGGTTATTTACTGGGTTACAGCCAGTCCTATTCCCCTGAATTTCCTGAATCAGAACCCGAATATGGCAATATTCAATATTCTACATATGTTTATTGATTGTTAAAGCTTGGGTCCACAGACCTGCCCAGCTGTGGTGCTTCCTGAAGTGGATCCATTATTCTGCAGTGTCGCAGCCATCTTTTATGAAAAATCCTTTCCTTAGGATTTTTCCTCCTGAGAAGCTGGGAGGCCTCAGGAACAAAATGCAAACAATGATTATCTGCTGCTGTGGAATGCAACAGGTGCATCTGTGATTGGTCCATGTTGGTTGTTTCTAATTAATGGCCAATCACAGTCAGCTGGCTCAGACTCTCTGTTCGAGCCACAAGCCTTTGTTATCATTCTTTGCTATTCTATTCTTAGCTAGCCTTCTGATGAAACCCTTTCTTCTATTCTTTTAGTATAGTTTTAATGTAATATATATCATAAAATAATAAATCAATCCTTCTGAAACATGGAGTCAGATCCTTGCCTCTTCCCTCATCCAAGAACATCTGTGAACACGGTCACACTGCAGCATGGAAGAAAATGTACTTTGGAGCATAAGTAACATTTCTTAAGTTTTTGTTGCTTTCTTTTAGTTGTTTTTTGAAGGTATATATTTTATATTTTAGTGAAAATAATAAACCATATTAAGTTTTCCATATGTAGCAGTTTTTGATCTTAGTGGCTTTGTATGTCAGCTTCCTGGATCAGCAAAGAACATGGAACTGAGTTTGGGAATGGTGACAGAGTTGCATGAAAAGTGTGTGGAAGGTCCTTCCTCCAATTCTCTGCTTGCTTCAAATTATACAAAATAGTTTCCCCTGAAGAAACACTCTGTGTGCATACCCAGCAGTGCTCTGATTTATCTCTCCTAGCAGAAACATTTAATCCATGTTTGTAGGAGGAGAGTACAGTTTGGAAGTTAAATCTGACTTTTGGCCAAATTGTAGATTGAAAGCATGCATGGAGCTACTGTTTTTCTCTGAGCAGTCATTTTCATGTTGGGATGTTTTAGAAAAACTCTTAACCCTTTTCAAAAATTATTCATCTGTATTTGTTCAGTTCTTGCACAATGCACAGATGAGCATCAGAAGATAATAACCTGTTACATCAATAAATTTTAATGACTTTGGGGAAAAACCCATCTCGTTATCACACACTGGGAAGCGAGTGTATGGTATGGGAAGTGCAACCATGAGGAATATGTTTGTGTTTGAGTATATGAGGGCAGCTGGCACAGTAGCCCTGAGGATTCTTGAGAATCCAGAGAACTGCACAGAGGATTTTTTACAGCAACTGGGCATTTGGAAGGGCATATTTGGAAGCAATTCCCTGGAAGATTTTCCTCTCCATGGCTTTTTTTCTAACTGTGAGATTTCCCATGTTGTCATAAAAGAAAGTTCTCTATGTCTCTGAATCCATTTTTTTCCAAGGCTCCATGTCTGTTTGAAGCATGGGTACTTGGGGAAGCCACACGTTGTCTCAAAATTTCCTGTGGGGTTTGTGCCAGATATAAGGGACAGAGAATACCCTGAAATTGGTGTGATACAGAGTAGTCATTTCTATTACTCATGCCTTTTCAGCTCCTATCACACAGAGCTGCTGCTTCAGGAGTGCTTGTGGCTTTTTACAGTCACAGATATGATCAAAAGCATGGGAAATGTCAGGAGTCCTTGGTTACATCTTTGTCCTCATGTGCCTGGGACCTGCTTTGCAGCAAAGGCAATGAGAAAATCATTGATTTAAATGTGGCTTTAAAGCCTGCAGTGAATAATTGGTATAAGGTTGTAATACTTGCAGTTTCTTGGTCATGAGTTCAATTAATATTTTTGATCTATTTGTTCACTAAAAGAACAGTGCTGCCACAACCAACAGTAATTGCAGTCTAATTTGCAATTTTTTAAGATAATGGTAATTGCTTAAACCCGCTGGGATTAGAGACAAAGTCAGAATAGATGACTATACTTTTATTTTGTGACAAAATTATGTTGCTTAGTTCCACCACATTTCACTGCTGAGAATGTCTCTCTATGGCAGCTGATAGAAACTTTCTGTGGTGCAAATTCTTTGGAAACATGCCCATTTTTGTTCCTGGTCAGGTGGTTAAAATAGATGTATGAGATGCCTGGGTCTGTCTGGTAATACTGTGCTAATTTGGATTTTGTTAACAGGGGTTTTTTTAGCCATTGTGAAATACAAATCTAAGTTCTTGTGTCTCCTGCAGGTTATGATTTTTTTATGCTTTTCAGTCACCTACATGTGGAGCTTCATTGCTCAGAAAGAGGATAAGTAAATACTTTAAAATCAAATCTAAATATGGCAAGAGGCCCCAAAATATGGAGGTGGGGGTGAGTTGTGAGGAAAACATGCCATTTTCTGCCCCAGATGGTGGACTTTTTTCATGACCAACACATGAAACTAACCCTGAATGTAGGTCTGTAAAAAGATAGAGCTCTATGACCAGCTTTTTCTTTTGGCAGGCCAGTGTCTTGTTATGTAAAACTTACTTCTTGTCCCTAGATCCATGCATGGAGCATTTTTTTTGGGCTTGAAAAATTGAATTGCACATTGGGGAAGGTTTGCAGAGAGGCAGAGGGAGCCCTGCAGGCTCAGGTGTTGGTGCACAGGCTGCCTCATCCCCACTCCAGAGGAGGCAGGAATGAGAGGGCACAGGAAGCAGCATCAGCCTGAGGGTATTTCCTACTTTGGGAAGGGAATATAAAACTTCTCAGTTATCTTTGGGGACTCTGGCCCTTGGTATGTGATTTTCTTGTGGATGAAATTGCTTTGTGTTCTGAAACTATAGCACTAGTAAAATTCAGTCTTGTGTATGATGAGCCCAACTCAGAGGGCAATGAACTCTGAGTCATAAAACACAGTCATGTAAAGGCAGGGGACAAGTCTGTGCTTTGCTGTGCAAAGAACTGTGATTAAAGGTGCAAGGCATAATATGTTTTAAAGTAGTATTGCATGCAGATTAATCTCATTTTATCCTTAGCAGAGAATCCAAATCAGGTCAGTTACTGCAGCAATATTGTGTAGGCTTTTTTCAGGTGACAGAAAAATTAAACCACAGTGCACAGCTCTGTCAGAATGCCAGCAAAAGCCATTTTTAGTCGCATATCTTGTGCTTTATTTGTCAGGGATTATGGTCAGATGATCTGGGAACTCAGGTATAAATACAAATTCTGTTGCAGCTCTGACCTAGTCTCACCTCAGAACTGGGGATGATTCTTATTTGCCACCTGGCTCTGGGGAGCACTTCACAAATGCTTGTTCAAACTGTTCAGTGTGAGGATGGGACAGGGACCTGTCCAGTCCATACAGATTTTATCAGGTTACAAATCCTGGACAGAACAGGACCTCACTAGATCCCCCTTTACATCACCCAGAGCTGCAGCAGGAGCTGTGCACACTTCATATGGCCAGAAAAGTAAAGCCAAACTTTATAGCTGAGCATCTGCATTTGATATTTATGTATTTATTAAATGACAGATTCTTTCCATTATCATTTAAAAATTAACCTTTTTGACAGGAAGATCAATTGATTTAGTAACTGTGGAATTTAGGAGGGAATTGCCATACTAAATCAGTCAAGTTTTTCCCCATTCTTGTGTCTGCTCCAAAGTAAGGTGGAAGAGCCATAAAAGAGGAATGTTTATATCCATCTATCCCCAAAACTGACCTTGAAGAAACAGAGGTGTAAATGTCCTCCTGTGTCCTCAGGAAGGTCTTTTTATATTCCTCTAGTCACTGATCTGCTTTTTGTTGTTTGAAAATAGCTGGTTTTAGCTCTGGGTATTTCCAGGGAAAGGCAGATCTTTAGGAAAACTGAATAAAAAATGTATGGCCTAATTTTGAATTGTGTAGAAGTGTACTTACTTCTTCGTTAAAATTTTCTCTTTTTAATGTTGTTAATTACTTTTTTGTCTGTGAGTGAGATGTAAACAGAAACTTTCAGACTATCATCTCTAAAACTTTACTTAGTCTGTGTTTATAGTTCTTTCCTTCTGTGTCAGCTTTTTAATTGTATTGATTAGGATATAAAAACCTAAAGAATCATAAAGCATCAGAGGTAAGAAAAAACAATATTAGGAAATCAATAAACTATTGGGTAATATCTCCAAGTCATCCAAATGACCTTCCAGAACAACACCTAAGAGTCAGAATCTTTGTAGTCCAAATCTGAAATGGCCATAATGAAATACAGGTCTTGGAAGATAAATTTAATGAAATGTAAATATGTTGTAATGATTTATAAATCCTGTAGGACAGTTAATGTGCCACACAATTTTTTGCAATCTGCTAATGAAAATTTGGACAGTTCTGGTTTCTTGAGAATTATCTTTGCTCATCACAGACTAAAATAATAGCAAGAAGAACCAAATAGGGAAATATAAAGATTCATGTATGAAATAATATAATGGAGAAAGGACAGAAGAACTGAGCAGATATAAAGTCAGTAATTAAGTACATACATACAGTGGCAGTTTTTCATTAAATCCTCTTAGGCAGCCACTAATTAGGCAACTCAAGATAGTAAAATGGGCGATTAGATTGTTTTGTCAATCACTAACTCAAAACCCAATGAAGTAGTTTCTTGGGGGTTCTGCAGTTTATTGCAGCCCTGAGATACATGAACAGTCTCTGTTTCAGCCCCCACATTCCAAGAATGACTCACAGCTCTTCAGTTCTCAGTCTCAGAGTTGTTTATTGGATCTTATCTATAAAAAATTTTTCTCCTGTCCAGCCGAGGTCCGTCCAGCAGGACAGACAGAGGCACTCTGCCTGCCCCCGGGGCGGTGTTATCTCTTTATACTACAAACTACAGATAACATGTTTACAATTACTTTCCAATACCTATCACCTGTGTTAGACATTGAGCTTCTACTCTAAACCAATCCCAAAGTGCCACCATCACAGCAGAAGATGGAGGTAGAGAAGAAGAAGAAGAAAGGCTGGACATGCCCAAGTCTCTCCATCTTGTCCCCAAAATCTACCTTTCCACCTAGTGATAATTTATTATTACACTACTTAAACTTCTGTGGCTTTCAGGTCCTCATACAAAGCTGGTAATTTGCTCCACGGGTCCCAATCAAACCCACAGGTGTTCTGGGCTGTGTGCCAGGGTCTCTGAGCCCCCTGGCAGGGTCCCAGCAACTCTGGACACCCAGAGGGACGTGCTGAATTCTGACAGAGTTGATGTGGTTGTTGCAGTTCTTGTGGGGAGCAAAGAGCTGTGCCCATGGCAGGCCTGAAAACACCTGGCAACATGAGGTACCCCAGAGTCTGCAGGACACTGCCCTAGGTCCAAATCAGCCTTCAGCAGCTCACAATTCCATTTTTCCTTTCAAGACATTTAAATATGAGAAGGGTTTGTCCTCCTGTGTGCCCTGCCCACAAAGAGAGCAGGAGAGACTCAGACCCAGCAGTAAATGGGGTATTGGGCCTGACTTATAACTGCAGATGCAAGGGTCTATTTAAACTACAGTCTTTGAACCTGGAGCGGGTGATAAATGCAAACATCAGCCTTTCTTCAGGCCTGACCTGGAAAGTTTTGCACCCATTTCAATAAACTCCTAGAGCTGGCTTTAATGTAGCAGTAGTAAGAAGCAGAGTGGTGGGCTCTGACAAGATAAGGAGTGTGAAGCAGAGAGACACCGGCTAAAAGTCTTCACTTGTCAAATTAATGGAGCTTTAGTGAAAGACTTCTTTTAAGAAGCTGCATTTTTCTGCTTTCTCTTGTCTTTCATCCACCTGTGTGAAAAGAAAAAAAGAAAATGAAACCGAAATGCTCGAACCAAACTTAACGTTTTGTGCCTAACAAAAGAGACTTTGGCCAGCACCTGTAGGGACCGGTTCACTGCATCTGACTAAATTCCAGGATATGGGGGGCTCCCCATTTCAAATTTAGCACCAACAATTGGATTTTGCTGATCCTTGCTTGCAAGCAGATGTTACGTGTAGCAGTGCTGCAAAGTTTGTTCTTTGAATTCTGGAACAAAAATCCTCATTCAAAGAGATAGTAAAACAAACAGCCCTGAGCAAAAGCATGAAATTAATTAAATAGGATGAAGTTTCAGCTTGTGCAAAAAGTAAATTGCAGTGGAAATGGACAGGATTAAAATGCTGAATTTGTTAATAGAAAACCCATCTATTTTGCATGGTGCTCTCCCAGTCCTCCAGGAACTATTCAGAGAAAGATCTTTCCCTTTCCCTTTCCTTCTGAAAGTTCTGATGTCTTTGTTCCCAAAGCAGGCATTTTGTTACTTTTTTATGTGCGTCAGGTTCAGCAGATAAACCCTGTTGTTGCTGGGTTTTATTTTGCATGTGATAACTCTGTGCTGCCCTATCAAATACTGCTAAACACTGTAATGCAGGAGGTGATTCTAGGGCTTTCCCTGTTTTTAAAATCTCTCTCACCTACAGGGTAATAGCTTTTGAGAAAACAGGAAAATACTTGGGTTCAGTAGTGGATCTCAGGACCTGGCTGTTAAAGCCAGGTATTATAGCAAATGTGGAAAAGGAGAGTGCCCCTACTCATAGCTCACGTGTCAGTATGTAACTGCTGATTACTTTTACTGTCTTACTTTAGAAAGTGTTGTTGAGCAAATGTTTTTTGATAGAGCCATGCCCACATTATATCACTCCCATCTCATATTTTCCTACAAGTATCTTATTTCTCTGCTGGATTGAATGAAAATCCTTCCCATTCCCAGAATGTCCCACCTCTACATGTCCTGTGTGCTTCAGAGAGTGTTGTAGACATCTTTTATGGAAAATCCTTTCCTTAGGATTTTTCCTCCTGAGAAGCTGGGAGGCCTCAGGAACAAAATGTAAACAATGGTTATCTGCTGCTGTGGAATGCAACAGGTGCATCTGTGATGGTCTCATGTGGTTGTTTCTAATTAATGGCCAATCACAGTCAGCTGGCTCAGACTCTCTGTCCCAGACAGAAGCTTTTCTTATCATTCCTTTCCTATTCTATTCTTAGCTAGCCTCCTGATGAAATCCTTTCTTCTATTCTTTTAGTATAGTTTTAATGTAATATATATCATAAAATAATAAATCAAGCCTTCTGAAACATGGAGTCAACATTCTCATCTCTTCCCTCAGCCTGAGACCCCTGTGAACACGGTCACAAGGGAGCTCAAAGTCACAAAGCACTTGATGAACCAGGACCCAGATGTTGCAGTCTGGGGATGCTCAGCCAAGAATGAATCTCTGAATGTTTTCTTGTGTTGAACCTCTAGGTAACATCAGGAACACGGAGAAACTGAGCTATGATAAACAGCACCAGTATGAGATAATGGTCACAGCTTTTGACTGTGGGCAGAAGCGTGCGTCAGAAGATGTCCTGGTACGAGTTAATGTCAAACCTGTGTGCAAACCAGGCTGGCAAGGTAAGGTTGAATAGCTGTTCTATTTTAATTCTTTATTTAAATCTCTTTCCTTTGGTGTTTTCCCTCTACCTCGCAGTAAGGAAAGGAGGGTGCTTGCTGCACTGGTGTGGAAAACTGCTGCTGTTCCTTCTGCCTCATTTCAAGCCTGCTAACAAAGTGGGTGATAATCCCATGTTTGCTTGCATTTGCCATGCTTCTTCTCTAGGCAGAACAAAGAGCAGACCAGAGAAAAAGAACACAAATTTCTACTCCAATAAGTTATCTCATGAGTCTAATAAGTTATCTTATAAGAATATTCTGGAAGGTAAAAAAAAAAATGATGCTGTTTTGCCATTGTCCTAGTATTCCTTAAAAGAGCATTTTTGAAGCCACCATGGCAAGGTGTTTCTGCCATGTGAGCTGGAGTTGTTCAGGTTATCTTGTTCAAGGTTCAGGATTGGCTTTTGTGGCATGCAGGAGCCAAGGCACCCCCAGTGGGAGTGAAAAGCATCTTTAAAGCTGATTCCTATCTTGATACTGAGACATTCTGGTAGGAATCAATTTGATTTTCTAAAAATGCTGTAAGGATCTATACCCTGTCTGGAATGGAGAAAACCCCAGCTGACAATGTACAGGGAAGATAGATATGCCACTAATTATTAGGAATTAAGATGGAAATGAGGGCTGGATTACAGACAAACAAATTGGATGTGACCATGTTATGCAGGTGTCATTCAGGACTAACTTGACCTTCATAATTGTAATTTTTAAACATAATGATTGAGAAGGAAAAAATCAGTTTGGCTGTTGTACTTAAAGGTAAATTTGCAGGTTGACATTTAGAAGAAAAAAATATTTTCTTTGGGAAATGAGAAGCTCTTGTCTAGAGGAGCTAGTAATGAAATGTTTGCAATAGCAGGATTCCATTTCCACAGCCCTCACTTGGAGCAGAGCCACGTTTCAGTTTTTTAGGATGTACTAGTACCCAAGTATTTGAAGAACATTTTTGTTGAAAGAAACCACAATAGCTATGAACTATTTCCACATTTTCTAACTGATATTACTGTTCACATGATTTAGTCTATAAAATTATTATAGTCTCTTTACACTGGAGAAATATTCTGTTTCCATTTTATGGAGTTATCTCAGATAAATTAATTATCCCCAAATTAGCTTGAGATTTGTATTAAAATGGGTGTAATGGAAGAATATTTTTTTCATTTTTTTTATTCAGGTACTTTTTTGGTTGAATAAGTTTTGCAAAGGTGGTAGTGGTGTATTTCTTTTGCCCAGTATTATTTCACAGTTCATGTGGTTGTTATGGTTGTTACTGGCTCCATCAGGTGGGTTTAGACACCAGGCAGCCAATAAAAGGAAAAGGAACAATCTCAAACAGGTTTGATCAGGGTTTGGGGTGTGTTTTTGATGCTTTGTTCGTGTTATTTGTACCTTTCCATCTGTCAAACACATGACTCTTCGCCTCCCTGGCACATCCCCAGGTCAAGGAGCACAAAACGCAAAGGGATGTCTCCTACTCAGGGTGGAAGGTCTTTAAGTGAACAATTGGGTAGATAGGGCTTCATTGCTTGATTATTATTAATTCATTAATTGTAATTTGAAAATTAACTATAACATAAGCATTCCAGAAATTTATACATTTCTCTTAAAGAGATTTTTTTCATACCTTTTTATTTTTACAGGTGGAGAAATTCATGTAGATGATGCTGTTTGCCAGTTTGAGCCAGTAAAAATCACCTGTTTCTAGGGAAAAAATAAGATCAAATAAGCAAATCTTTCCAAGAGTATTTGTAGTAGTTAAAGAGGAAATCTGGAGAGTAGAAATTGAAGATATTTATAGTGTTCTTTCTTCCCTGTGTTTAATGCTCTGTGACCTCCCCACAAAGGGGCAGCCAGCAAGTTTGCTCCATCTTCTTTGAAATAATGCTATATTTGTAAAGATTGGATGACTTCAGGAAGTAAAATAATGGGAGGTTTTTGACAGAAAAGAGGAATATTTTGAGTCTTTGGTTATAATAGAGATGTTGCTAAAATACGTGATTTTTTTTTTTCTTGTTCTTCAGTGTTATCCTGAACAAATAAATACTCGGATTTTCAATTTATGGCATTGGCACTTAGTTCTTGAAAGCTAATGGCTTTTGTAATTTGAAATATTGTGCACTTGTTTATGTAACTATCATGAATAGAGATTGGAGTGGTCTAATGCAACTTCAGTATTAAAAATTTTATTGCAGACAATTTCAGCGTAGATGCCCTTCAGATAACCTCCACTGTGCAGGGCTGCGAGAGGGAAGAACAGGCTGATGTAAAGCAATTCAAAATTATTCCTGTTTCTTGAGGCCAGCAGCATGTGACTGATGTGTGGCAGAGCAAATAAGGCTCCACCAGCCAAGGTGCTTTCCTTTAATCAATATTTCCTTGGGCTAACGGTGTTGAAGTCTTCATTAAATCCAGGAGCTGCTTCCCTGCTCTCTGATGATGATGGGCATTAATACACCAGCAGCCAGATCCCCACATATTTTCAGCAAAAAAGCCTCCCCTCTGTTCAGAGGCTGCTGTAGAAACAATCTTGACCCAAGCTGGCATCTGCTTTCTGAGCAGACCACTCTGGACTGTTATTCACATACTGAGCAAGCTAAAAATGTAAATCAATGGGCTGAATTACTTCCTAATCAGGTATTTTAATTGGAAATTCTCACTAGTGGGTTTTGTCAAGTGACATCTAGAGCTGTGCTACAAAATCTCTTCATGCCAGCTGTGTTTTCATGTCCATGATTTCCAAACAGTGCAGTGACCATGTCCTGCCAGGTAGGTAAAGGACAGAATTACCAAGAAAAGCTGGATGATGACAGTACTCCTGACATCATCATGGCTCAATCTGCAGTAGAAGATACTTGGATTTTTGGTTTAAAACATTTTTAATCCTTCCATAGTGGGATTACAAATGGAAATTAAATCTAACCCAATGTGCTGAAAGATGCAATGTGGCAAAAAATTGAAAACAATTATTCCTGTACCAGGCTCTCTGGTGACCAGTACACTGTGTGGGGAGAAAAAGAGTCTAGCCTCAAAAAAAAAAAAAGAAGGGTAGAATCATGGACCTGAAAACTTGAAAAATATGTTTTGAGGTTGTCAGAGGTCTGCTCAGTTATTGACAATTAAACCACAAGTGATGTTGCTCCCTAAAATGCAATTGATTTCAGACAGAAAATAGTTATTAGAAGTAAAAAAACTTCTCTGAAGCAACCAACTGAATACCTTGGGAAAGAAAAAGAGAGCTCACAACAGGGAAGACTGGCTGTGCTTCCTGGGGAGATGAGTGTGGAGCGAAGACAACAGCCCAAAACTCAAAAACTCATGAAAGGAGAGTTTTTCCATGCCAAATTTCATATGGCCTTGCTTAGGCAATGGTGACTAACCTTCAGTTGGACTGTTAGGACTCCAAATACAAAACAGGATTTCACAGCATCCAGCCTCAAGTGTTTTACCAGTCTGAAAAGATTTTTTGCATTTTTCTTCCAAGGTCTGTGAACCCATATGCATCCTCACCCAACTACGCAGGAAAGAGAATAAGGTTGAAGTTCTTTAAAAATTCATCTTAAAAGAGATAGTCCTGAAAAATTAAATTACTTTTACATAGTGTTGGCTTAAAAATAGTTTTGAAATAAAAGCTTCTCTTTGTTCATTCACCCAATAGATCATAAAAATATTCTTAAAAGATTGTTAGTGTATCAGAGATAGTGCATACCATTTCCTTCCTAAGGCATGTTGTGCCCACTAAGGTGGCCTGGGCCCTTTCCAAAGGCACATTCCCAGCACCTCTTTAAGGCTGAATAGGCATTCAGAGGCCATGTGCAGTCAGATCAGCTTGCTCTTCCTGCTGAAATGTCTCTTTTGTACAAAGAAGGGCAGAACCTTCCACTTCAGTAGCAGAGTGATCTCACATCACTTCTGAGTCAACATTCCTCAGAGATGTTGTTTGCAGTAGCTGCTGAGTGACTTCAGAATGGTTTTCATGAGGGCTTTCTAGTAAGATCCAGTTACTCAGGCAAACCAAAACCATATTGGCTTTCATTCTGACAATGCTTTTAACAAGGAGGAATATGATTACTAAGGTAATTGATTATTTGGAGGAGGCTGGTCAAGTGCAGAAACCTTGCTGATGAAGGTAATATTCTCAGTCTTCCAGAACAATTTAAAAGGGCCAAGTAATTTCTGCACTGAACACAAATCAATTTGCATTACTCCTGTGCAGACACCTAGCAGCTCAAAACACCATGCTTGTGTTGTCTTAGCTGTGAGATATTCACCCATATTTTTATAAATGAAATTTATTGTGAAGCAGGGAGTCTTTATGCCAGTCTAGGCTTGGCACTGCTATGCATACATTAGCCACACATCCTTCAACCAGGGTAATCAGGATGAAATACTTACATTCAGCTGTTAACTTGAATGGCACCATTTTAGTAAAATACCCACTCTAAATAACCACTCCAGACATTTGAAAATTAAATAAACTCCTGAGTACTACCAAGTTTTGAGCTTAAAATTTACATAGTTCATTTTTGCTTTATTACTTGTATCTATGTCGTTTTTACTTTGCTTTGACTACCAGACATACTCAGAGAAGGCTGTCATACCTGTTCCAATCTAATTTTTTAGATATGCTATCTTTATTAAGTTCTGTATCTGCATTATAGTTAAATACATCTTCCCTGAGCACTCCAGGTCCTCTCATGTTTCTTTTTACCATGTCCTCTTACTGAAAACAGTGCTTTAGATATTCCAGGACTGCTTTGCTTTTGCCTGGCCATATCAGACTGGTGGCCTGTGGAAATGCTTTCTTGTCTTAATGAAATCAGCTCTTTTACCATTTGTTGGTTTTCAGTGATTTCTCAGAGGTTTGCTTAACTGCCTGAGCACTTTGTATCATTACTAAGCATTATTTCTGTAACACCAGTTCTCAAGGTCACCTTGTTCTGTGTTTAGGATATCTTCTTTCC